CGTTTCTGCGCATCACCCTGGCCCTGCCCCGCCTCGTGGCCCCCGCTCGCCGCCTCCTGGAACAGGGAGTCCGTGTGGCAGGCCTGGGCACCCCCAGCTTTGCATCCTATGAGGCCAACGTTGACTTTGAGATCCGGTACCAGCCCCCACCTCGCTTCTCCGCCCTCCGCCCCACCCCCCAGGTGGTCTCAGCCCACTGACCTCATCCCCCTGCAGGTTCATGGTGGACGCGGACATCGTGGGCTGCAATTGGCTGGAACTGCCCGCTGGGAAATACGTCCTGAGGCCGGAGGGGAAGGTGCAGACCCGCCAGGGGTGGGGGACAGGGAGCCGGGGACCCAGCAGCCACTGACACGCCTGTCCCCGCAGGCCACACTGTGTCAGCTGGAGGCAGACGTACTGTGGTCAGACGTGGTCAGCCACCCGCCAGAAGGGCAGTGGCAGCGAATCGCACCCCTGCGTGTCCTGAGCTTTGACATCGAGTGCGCCGGCCGCAAAGGTCTGTCCCCAGGGCGTGGGCTCCCCTGCCCTCCCTTTGGATCAGTGACTTGCCAGTCTCGCCCTGGGTCCCCGTGCTTCTGGGGGAAGAGGGAGTAAACATGCAGGTGTTTGGGTTATTGTAAGACATGAGGGGGCTCCAGACGGGTGGGGGTGGGGAGAGCATTTCCCACAGAGAGAGCAGCAAGTGCAAAGGTCCTGGGGCAGGACCATCCCCATCTGTGTGGGGGAGAGAAGGCAGGAGGTGAAGGCAGGGGGAGCCAGGATGGATCTGGCGGGGTCTGTGGGCAGTTGGGACAGAGCCGGGTGAACAGGCCAGGGGAGATTTAGAGATGTCGCCCCCTGGTGTGTCCTGAGGGCGAGGAGGGGTCAGGTCCCTACATCCCCTCCCTCCCCCCCTCCCTGTGCAGGCATCTTTCCCGAGCCCGAGCGGGACCCGGTGATCCAGATCTGCTCGCTGGGCCTGCGCTGGGGCGAGCCGGAGCCCTTCCTGCGCCTGGCGCTCACCCTGCGGCCCTGCGCCCCCATCCTGGGTGCCCAGGTGCAGAGCTACGAGCGGGAGGAGGAGCTGCTCCAGGTGACTCTCGTTTGCGTCCCCCCATCCTCCTGAGCGCCCCCACCCGAACCTTCATAGCCCAGGCTCCCCTGATCCCGAGACTCACGTCCAAGAGTTCAGACCCCTTCACACTGAGGGGTGAGCGGCTCTTTCCAGCAGCACCTGCCAGGTCTCTCTACCACGAGCGGGAGGGCTTCCAGAACATTCCAGGATCGGGGGGGACCGGGACAGGGGGGTGACGAGGAGGACAAGCACAGTGACCCTGAGTGTGCCTCCGCCCCCCGCCAGGCCTGGTCGACCTTCATCCGCACCATAGATCCCGACGTGATCACCGGCTACAACATCCAGAACTTCGACCTTCCCTACCTCATCTCCCGGGCCCAGCACCTCAAGGTAGGGCAGGCCACGGCGGAGGAGGCTCGCCTCAGACAGCGCCCTACGCCTCCCCCCACCCTCTCTGTGGCCCTGTCCCCACGGAGGTCCACCTGGCTCTGCACCTGCCGCCCCAGCGGCAGATCTAGGCTTTAACATACGTGAGCAACAAATAAAGGGTGCTGGCTGGTTTGCTCAGTGGTTAGAGTGTTGGCCCGTGGACCAAAGGGTCACAGGTTCCATTCCCGGTCAAGGGCACATACCTCAGGTGCAGGTTCCCCAGCCCCCGTAGGGGCACTTGCAGGAGGCAACCAATCTGTGTGTCTCTGTCATGTTGGTGTTGCTCTCTCTCCCCCTCCTCCCTCTATCTCTCTCTCACCCTCCTCCTTCCCCTCCACTCTCTCTAGAAATCAGTGGAAAAAATATCCTCGGGTGAGGATTAACAAATAATAATAAATAAAATAAGAAGATGGGGTCCTGGCCAGTGGGGCTCAGTTGGTCGCATGTTGTCTTGTGCATGGAAAGGTTGCCTGTTCGATTCCCAGTCAGGGCACATGCCCGGGCTGTGGGCTCGATTCCTGGTGGGGGGCGTGCAGGAGGCAGCTGATCAGTGGTCTGCTCTCACATCAGTGTTTCTCTCTCTTCCTACCCCTTCCTCTCTCTCTAAAAATCAATTAAAATAATGTTTTTTAAAAAATATATTTTTATTGATCCTTACAGAGAGAAAGGGAGAGAGACAGAG